CAGACATGGAGGAAAGGTGGGGAAAGCAATGAAAATCTTCTGATAATGTTGATCTAAGACCACGTAGACAGGAACGTGCCAAGATTTAATGCATACAGATCAGCATGTCTGGCTCTTAGAAACATGGCCTGGCATTCTTTGCATCAAAAGTTAAACCTTTAAATTTGGCTATATGAAATGCATGTTGTTTGCATGAGTCTTTGCTTCTGGATGTCTCTGACCAATTACCTACAGTAACTGAGAATTTCGGTGCTGGGAGCATCACACGTGCAGTGTCTCTGATCTGTGTAGTCCCCTCCTTTCCTTGTACTGCTTGTTTGTACAGGGGGGTTGAACAACTCTGTTCCTATTAAAATACTCTAGTGTTCAGAAGTAGAAAGGTGAGGAGGGTGTTCTTTGAAAAGAATTGGAATCAGAGCACCGAGTAGAGTGTTTTCCCAAGAACTGAGCGCGCTACATCTGCACAATGTAAGCACTATTTAAGGAGAGATATCATAATAGTCTGCAAGGATTACACGTTTGTAAATATGAATGGGGGGTAAGAATTTTATAGGAGAGTCCAAAGGATGTCAATTAGTATTTTAAAATTAAACAAGAGGAAATTAGTCTAAGTAGCTGTATAATCATGCTCTGTGATAGATGTTGAAGTGGAAATTTTTCTTAATGAAAAGTGCTGGAAGAGGAAAGGGTTAGTTCCATAAATTTTCCAGTTTGGGAGAAGAAGTTAAAAACTATTGAATTGAAAACTACCTATTTTGTGGCTTGCCATGATTTAAACTTAGAAATTTTAGCTATTTCTAGACTTCTAAAAGTTTAAAAGAAATTGATATGTGTTATTCAAAATTATTGAGGTTTTGTGTTTTTTTTTCCCCCTAATTTGGAGTGAGAAAACTATTTTTATACCCCCAGAAATGCATTTGCTCTTCATGATTTCATAATACTTACACACCATTATTCCTAGTGAATTTTATCCTATTTCCCTGGTGTCTTTTTTGGTATTCTTATCTATTTTAATATGTGATTTGATATGTCTCACTCTGATCTCTTTCAGACCCCTTTGTTTTATCCTGATCACTGTTCTGCATCACATACATTTTGCTTTCAGTTTTCATTCATTAAAATGGCATTTCTCATCTTCTGCTTCACTGCACTTTTGAGGACTCGCCACTTCTTTTCCTCACCCTCTTTGTCCTTACTCATGGCAAATGAAATAATTAATCAAAGCAAAAATATTGCTATAGGTACCTACAAATCCTGCATACAGAATTTCACTACTTCAGATGTCACTCGGGAAAGTGAGGTTTTGTGGCAACATGGAGACACCTTGGCATTTCTATAATGATTAAGAGAAAATCGGGCATTTATGTCCTTGGGAAAAGGTATTTTGAGGCAAATTCTCAGCCACTGGAGTGGAGGGGTCTGCGTCAGTTTTCTTTGGCTGAAGATCTGTTGTTTTGCAATTCTGGAGTCACTTATTAAGAACAGGAGAGTAGAATCAAGTTCTTCAAATCACACCTGCTTGAATGAAAAATGTAAGTAAGCTGTTCTGAGGACAATGTTTTAGGTGCAGCTCTCCATTGGAAATGTCCTACGGAAGGTAAGCGCTCTGAGGAATGCCGCAGCAGACAGGTCTACCACCCCTTTCATCTGGGTCAAAGCACATCTCCTCCTCCTAAACAAGACATTATTGATTTGCTCTCCTACCCCTTACTACTTTGTTTGTTTTTAACCAAGTTCAATCTCCTAAAGCCTCTGTGACTATTAAATCTGTACTCGGGCCAACCATGTTGTCTGGTGGCACAACAGAGCCCTCCTAAAGTCACACTGCACTGTGGTGAGTCTGGAGAGACCAAGTGAGGAAAAGTGCGTAGTCAGTTTTAAATACCTCCAGTGACATACTCCAAATGTCTCCTCCATGACAAGATTTTTTGGATTATTTTTCTCCCAGCGTGAAAACTGAAGATAAGCAAAAAATTAAAACACCACCACAAAGAAAATGTAAATCTGTTGTGAAAACACTTAGTATCTTTCTAGTCATATGCCTCAGGACTCTCTCTGTGGTTGTCTCAAGAAATCAAAACAGAATGTGCCAAAAAACAAGGAATATTTTGTTATAATCTTTCAAAGGTCTTTTTGTTTTGAAAAATTAAATCAAACCATAGTTAAACCTGTAAACCTGAGAAAATTTTGGTGAATTATTTGAACTTCTTTTCTCATGTTCATAGAAAGTTTGCAATTTGCTCTCATTTTTACTGATTAAGGAGGAATTAAAAATTGAAGCTGAATAACTTTTCTAGCCATTTTGATTGATTCAGTTGAAATTCATTACAGGGTTACATGTTGTTCTGTAACAGCATTTGTTGCAGAAAAATGTTACAAGGTTATAGGCTCTTTTACAAGGAAAACCCAGTACTAATTGGCTGGAAAAGCTGGTTTTGATCTGCATATAAGTGCATGTAAACTGGGAAAAAAAGTGAAGCGTAGAAGCAGACTTTGAAACTGCAATAGGATGAAAGAACATAATAGAACAGGATATTAAATAATCAGATATATAATATCTAGCAGAAACTTAATTTTGTATAATTGTCAAAATAGCAGTTTGGTGTCAAATAATGAATGATATTATAAAAGGATTAGTCTGATACTGTGTTCCAGTTCATAAACTTAATGATTTATTGTTCCATAGCTTACATATTTTCTTCGGTGAGATAACAGTTAATTTTCACTTCTTGCATACAAATCCTTGTATTCATTCACCAGAGAAATTAATGTCTTGCCTTAGAGATTGTCTAAATTTTATCTACCTGAATGAGTCAACAGTGAGATTTTTTCACATCTGTTTTCCATCCTAGTGTTTTGAAGGGGAAATAACAACCTTTTTGGATCTCCAAGTCTATTCCCTGCAAGTCAGATTCTGCCATAAGAAGCAGTTGGCCTCGGGGAACTTTATGTTCATGGAATTCATGGAATTATTTGTGGCATGACCTGCCACTCACACTCACCGTGAGCAAGCATGGCGGCATAAAAGCACGAGGTGTGTTATATCTGTTGTACCGAAATAAGCCTCACTTGAGAGTTACGTTGTGCCGTACCTCTGCGTCGCGGTTTAACCCCCGCCGGCAGCTAAGGCGGCACACCGGCACACAGCACACTGTGTGATATTGTTGGGTACCATTGCAAGTACTTGCGCACATCGGTAACCGTCAAATTTTTATATCGTCCATGAAGAATGCGGACAGCAGTGGGAATTGTTGATGCCAGATGCATTGAATCTGTGGCCTCACAATTTAAGGTACTTACGTGGGAAATGAGCAGTTCTATATTCCTAGTTCATAGTTACTTGCCAAGTGATTGTTTTCAGAGTATCAGAGGAAAATATGTATTTTTTTAATAGGTATTGAATGGTAGGTCATTATTTCAGCTTTGTAAGGAACTATTTTAGACTTCCACAGCGATCTCAATGATTACTACCGCTTATTGCACTAGGAAAGGTCTTTCCCCATGCATGAACTGGTAAGAGTCAGTATTTCAAGCATACGATGGGTGTTCAATGAACATGACTTAAAAGAATTACTAAATATTTGTTGTTGTATTCTGCCCGTTACCAAACAGCAATATTGAAGCCAGGAAAGAAATCAGCAGGATTTTCCTTTTTCTCTTTTTTTTGTTTTTCTCTTCTTCTCCTCTTGCCCTTTCCCTTCTGCTGCTGTCCAAGTTATACCACATTCCTTAGCAGTGAAATGGTGAGAAACAGAAAACTCTGTGGAGGAAATGCAAAAACTACAGGTAAAACTATGGCTTCTCAGAGCCAGGGGTGAAATTCCCATAGGCTACAGAAGGCCACACTTTCCTTAAGCTTTAGAAAACTCTGTGTTAGAAATACCAAGCTACCTATGAAAAAAGGGCAACTGTGGAAGGTAACACAGTTATGTGTGTAATGGAGGAGGAGCTTAAGTCACAAGTTTTCAAGTAGTTTTAAATTTTCTTTTCAGCGTGCAGAGCCCTGCCTGGTGAATTCAAGCCTGTTCATAAACATTTTTCCGTGTTTCATTTTCACAACCTGATGAGAAGCTGTCTTTCCACACCCAGGGGCCGCAGACTGAGCAGCAGTGCTCTGGAACTTACAGAGAAAGAGGGACTCCTTTAGAAAGCAATCCAAACCTGGAGCTTTAGTCATTAAGTTTTGCTAGACTGATGCCACCCACAGCAATCCCATCTTCTGTTGTCCAGGGTATGTTTTAATGAAGGAAAAAAATAACCCCGAATATTTCCACTGGTGTCTTTTATTAATTAATGCAAAATACAGTATTAATTATGACACTGCATGCATTTTAGACAATATAAATGCAAGCCTACAGAAAATGTGACAAAGAAACCCTCAATTACTTTTGAGGTAGTATACAAGGAAAAATAGGAAAGCAGAAACACAGTGGAGTAAAAGAACAAAATATTAGTATCACTTTGTGCATACATTAGTCACTCATAAATACATTTGTATGAAATAACTTAAGACACAATTCCATTCTTGTTAAAAAATATACTTCTTCAAATTCACCATTCTTTTTTGTTTTGTTTTCACATGACATCTTATGGTATTTTATCAGGTGGATTTATTTTTGATCATCGCCGTCATGATTTTACCCTTTTCCTCCAAGAGTTTAGGCACAGATGGCCTCATGCACAAAAAATAAATAAGAAACCTGCTTGAAGGGAAAAGAATTCTGCTCAAATAGTTTAGGATAGTCTAATAAATACAATTTTGTTTATAAAAATATTTCAGGTTTATAAAAGAGGGGAGGGGACAGTCTCCCATGTGGAAAGGATGTTAAGTGAAAAGTGCTGTATAACATTTTTGAAGAGATTTTGTTTTAAACATATAGTACCATTATGAATATATATTTTATAATAATCCTGTTTCTTAGAACCTTATGGTTCACTAGAAGTATCAAATGCTGTTTGCTTCCTTTTGTTCGTTGTCTTATTGCCGTTTTGGAAGATGCCTAGTTCAGAAGGGTTCCGTATAATTGTGCTTTTGTAAGGCTGTCCTTCCGACTCAAACCAGTACTCCCAGTCCGTTGAAACTGCTGCTGTTTGCTGTGAATACCCGAATGGCTTCCTTGCTCCATGGAAGACTGGTGGATTTCTGAAGCCTCCACTGAACTCTGATTGAGGGACTCTGCTGAGCTGTTGGGGCTCACGTCCACGTATTCCCTTTTCAATACCGGGCTATTTTCGATGTTTTTGCTACTGCATAACTGGACGGTGATCCTTTCATTTTTTTGGTCTCTTGATTCTTTTGTTTTGTAAGGGGGCAATTTGTCCTGTTTACAGCTAGTGCTGATGTCGATATTCAGGCCACTGTCTGTTCTCAGGAAGCAAGAATCCACAAGTCTGCTTTGGCAGACATCGTCTCCCTCTGAGCAGCTATCTGCTTTGTAACTAGCATAGATGGGGCTTGTTCGACTGTCTCCCTTCTTAATAGGGCTGCTGTAGTACTGCTCTGAAAAACTACAGGGCGACAGCCTGCCAGTGTTCCTGTAAGAGTACGCACCAATGTCCTCCACGCTCAATTGCCTCCATCGCCCAGGCAAATCTTCTTCTGAAAGGTGGGTGCTCCTGCACTCGTTCCTCATTTTCTGATTCGCTAAAGCCTGCTGTGGTGTTATGGCTGAGAAATGAAAAGGCTCGTTTGCATAAGGAGGCAGAGTCCTAGTAAAAGTGGGTGAGTTCTCATTGTCTTCGGCAAGCTCCATGTGCTGCCCAGGTTTGGACTTGGCAAACCTAGGACTTCCCTGATGCTCATAACCTGCAGGTGACTTTCTTTCAAACAGTTCGTCTCGGTTACTCATGTAGATCGCTTGCTGAGAGGCTGTCAGAGTGTTGGCTTGGGCGTTCTCCTTCTCCTCAGATGTGACACTGAAGCTGGAATAGGAGCTGGAGGTCGGCAGAGAGGTAATGTACTCTGGGAAGGCTTCATGAGAGAAGCTGGAATGGAAACCGTCTTCTTCGACGGTGCTGTCCGTGGAGTTCTGGGACCGCAGGAACCCCACGTCTTTCACTTGCGTGTCCACACTCTGCCTTCTCTCCCTCCTCCTCTCCTCGGGGCAGTAAAGGGCGGTGTCGCTGCAGTAGATGTCCGACTTGTACTGGGGTCTTTGTCCGAGTTTTCCAGCAGAGTCCTGAAAGTTGAGATCCCTTGTAGATGGGCTTGACAAGTGTGAAGACAAACTGTTTGGATCTGGTTTTTCCAGTACTTTGGCAATGACGCAAGTGGGTATGGTATCAGCATAAGATGTGTGGCACAAGGGGACAGAAAGGCTGCACCCGTGTTTTTCCAGATGGATGCTGACTCTTTCCTGAAAGTCAGATGGCAACTGTAACATAAAGAGATGGCAAAGGGGACAGGAGAAAAAGGTGCATGTCAATACTGGTGTCTGCTTGGGTTTATACAGCATTGATAGATGAGTGCTGCTTATGACATTGCACAGCTCACTGTGAACGCTTCTTTGACTAATGTGGTGGCCACAATCTTTGCGCATTTCCGAAAACAAACATAATCCAGTGACTTTCATTTATTAACATTTGGAAATCTTAATTGGGTTGCCCTCATGGAAAACGCTGTGAAACAGAAATGTTTCCTTCCAAGTTAATTGAGGTTGGATAAGAATGATGTAAAAAATAGTAGTAGTAAACAACGATCTTAAAAGGGCAGGTAGGGAATTGCAGCCTACAACAACGCTTTCCAGGAGGAGGGCATGGGTGTGATTTGCAGTTGGAGTGGGGGGTGCGGAGGTCTCTGCTGGGCTGAGGAAAGAGGAGGAAGAGATCAGACCTATTCTGTTCTTCTTTTCCCTTTCTTTAAGCTTGTCTTGCCTCCAACTTTGTGCCAAATTGGCCCCTGCCCTTCAGCATCGCATTTGATAAACAATACTGTTCGGAGAGGCAGGAAAGTTGGTTTCACTGAGACTTAAAGCAATAGCTTTAAGCAAAGGCTGCTGTGACAGGAGTGTTCCTGTGCTGGGAAGAAGCAAATCAAACCCACTACCTTGGCCCAGCACTCGAACACCGCTTGTCAGATCAACATAAGCCTCAACATGCTCCCCTCTTCCAGCAGCCACTGACCGCTTTTCTCGTTTACTACACTGGCAGAAATAAGAGCTAAGACCTGAATTTACACTATGATTCCTGTGACAGAGTAGTCAGAATTAATCAATATGTCTGTTATGCATCAGGGATCGTATAGTTTTTGGAGAAGTCAGGATCAGCTCTGTGGGTGGTGGTTCCACCTGCCACTCTATCGCAGGGACCAGAAGATACTGAGAGCCCGCATTCCTCGCTGCGGCTCAAAAGCCTGGTAGGTAACGCCCGCGCAGGTATCACCAAGCGTGCTTGCCAGTCAGGTTTTATCTGCATTGCTCATTGCAGATCTCTATCAATGATGGGGCAGGGCTGTGAGAGGGTGCTGCCTGATGGTTGTCTCTCAGTATTTCTTACTGGAAATCACAAGAACTCATGTTTGGACTAAGTTTTGAGTTTGTAACTGTGATAGCTCCTTTGATATCCATGCTGATTTACACCACTTAAGAATTTAGCCCCTGAATGCTTGGCTGAACTCTGATTTATTCAGTGCTTTTTTTTTATAACTAGAAATCAAGTTTCTCTTTGCCACATAATCAGTGGTTACCCTTATAGCCCTACCGATCACACCCCCTCCTTAACTTTGTTTCTCTAGAGGAGAGAACCCTACAAATACTGAAGTGGTGTAGTCCCCCCTGTCCCCTCTATTTTAGGGAAGAGAAATTCAAGATGCCTGCTCCTTGTAATGATCTCACACTGTATAAGAAACGGAGTTCCTCTTTTAGCTTCACTGGGAAGTTTTAGAAGTTGATTTAATCCCCAAAACTCAATGTATTCCAAGTATGGCATGTTGTGAAATGGCATTCTTGTTAATGTGGAGTAGGATGACTGTTTTTTCAACCAACAGACCTTCCAGGATATTTTGGATTAATCATTATGTTGTTAATTAGCTCATATGTCTTCCATTGGAAATAAAGAGTATGATATTGCCAATCTGCTGGCAGACAGCAATATTAGTCACAGTAAGTACAGATGCAACAAAGATTGAATAAACAGGTTGTAAAATACGTTTGCTGTAAATTGCCACAGCTATGAGGAAAAGAAATACAGTTCATGTAATGTGAAACTGCTGTATGGGGCAGCTATTATTTTAGGATCCTGTAACACCACTGTTTGATCTATTTTATATACATTATTTAGATTATGAAATGTATTAAGAAAAAGAACATTATTTTCTGGGCATTGCATTGGAAACCGGAATTACTGAAATGATATTGCTGTCACATTACTATATTGTACTATAGTTTAGGCTTCTGGATAATATACAATACTGTGTCAGGCAATTTTGCATTTGTAAGGAATTTATTGGGTGTGACAGCACATTCACACTTGCTAAATTAATAAATACTTGGACTTATGAGTGGAGACTTTGCCTGTTTAATTGAGTGTATGGCAGACTGGGGAACTGTGGGGAGATTCCACATTTGTGATAGTTTTCTGCAAGTGAACCACTAAATACTTTTAAGGTCCTAATTCTTGCTAACAGGTAGGATGCTTTCAAGTGTAAGTAATGTCATGATAACTCCTGGATACGAATTCTTAAGGGGAGTCAGTTAGTAGGAAAAAATAACAGGACCAGGATAATGGTTAATTTGGAAGTTCTGTCTCAGTTCCAGAAAATCATTGTCCATTTGACAGGAGAGTCTTCCTCTATCCTTATTTACCAGGGTTGTTCAATGCTCTGAAGCAGTCTTACTGGCTTAGAAATGGTTTAAACATTCCACATTCAATTTTACGTTATTCTGTCGGAGAATTGCACAGGAGAGACCATTTGGAGGGACATTAACCTGATGGGACTGATGAAGGGAAGTCTCTTTTCTCCATAACCTTCCCCAAAGCAATACACGAGGAAGGTGCTATTGCTTTGTGTAGGTCCTGAATCCCTAAAGACAGTCTTGTTCACTAGAGATAATATTTGCCTCCCCTTTAAAGAGTCTGTTTCTCAAGCCTAGTTTACTTGGAAGTGAGGATTATTAATTAAAGTTTACACTTTGGAAATCAACCATTCAGTGCTCTGGTTGCTTTAGAAAAGAGTCATTTGTTCTGTCAGTCCTTTTTAAAATTCAGGTTTAGAAATTAGCTGGACTGGAAAATAGCTTCAGGAGGAAAATTGATTATATCAGAATCCCCGATGCCTGAAGCTTGTCCCTTCCCTGCTCTCCCCCCGCCGCTACCTCCCCCCAGCATTTTGCGGTCTAGAGCTCTCAGCATGTTGGTTTTACTAAAACCATTATTTTTCATGTGATCAGCACAGGCCCATTCTACCGGAGAGTAGAGGTTTCGGGGAAGGGAGTACCTCCAAGTTCCAGCACTAGCTGTGATTTTGTCAGCACTTCCCTCAGCTGCACAGAATACCAGCAGGCGCACTGGTATATTAAGCAAGAGCCCTCCTCTTGCTTAAAGGAGGAGGGGGCGGAAATCAAAGCCTTAAGGGCAAACAAGTTCTGGAATTGATACACGTAAAATAACCTCTTTTCCATAAAATATTTATTTCTTTGAATATTCACCAAGTTCGGTCACATTACCTCCGAAAGTTTATGTGCCCTGTCGTAATTCTTGCTGCACTGGAGCAACTGAGCAGCTAAATTGCAGTCCTTCCTATAGAGCTCCTAGAAAAACAAAAAATAGCCTGTTTTTTAAAGGTTGCAAATAGCTTGTGGCTTTCAGCCTTTCTCCCATGCCTGAGCAATCTTTTAAAAATTGACTTTGGGGAAATTTGGAGCATACTTTAACTTTTAAATACATTAAGATTCCATGTTTCTTGCACGGTCCTGAGATGTTTGCCCCTTTGCTCCATGAAGGCTGATAAAATTACTAAAAAGAAAATTTCGAGAGCTGTTACTAGAGAACAGTAGTCTGCATTGCAAAAGATGTATACTTACCATTAGGAACTGGACTTTATACTGTGAACATGCATGGTGACATGAAGGCTACAATAAACATGATCTTTTAAGCAAATAGAAAACTTAAGAACAGACAATTTTTACTGAGTATTTTCCAGATCAGCACTAAGATGCTATTTTAGAAAGTGTTTAAATAATCTTATAAGACTGTGGGAGAAATTCATTGCAGAAATATACATTGTATTGTTTTTTAAAAAGAAGGCCTTTGTCTGCTTATGTGGGTTCCTGGCTCCTTTCATATCTTGCAGAATGCAGCTATACAAATATATTAAATCTCACTGCAAATATTTGATGCTGTAGAACAGGATATTTTTACTGGGTAAGAAATGACTACAGGAATTCCACACAGGGAAAAAGAGAATTTAAACAAGCCTTTTTCTTACACTATTTTTGTATTGAATGGCTCCCACAGCCTATATAATGAGAAAATTCAGTACATAGTTTTGCCCTTCATCTAAATTTAATTTAGCACACATGACTGTGTAATTGTACCCTTCAACCAATATCTTTGTGTCACTGGAGGTAAGAGTTGTATATTGCTTTTCCTGATCTAGGTGCCACTAAAAACAGAAGTTGACATTGTAGGTGGGCTTAGATAAGAGAGATAGACAAAGCGTAAAGGTACTATGGACACTAGGCTGTGTTAATCTGTAAAAATTAGAAAATTTTTATAGAGAAAAAGTGTTGAATACTGAAATGATTTGGATTTTCTCTGGCATTAATGTTTTAGTTTTATTGCATGCAGATTTTTACTGTTCCACTTGTTCTTTTAAAAACTGATAAAGAATTTTTCTATGAAAAGGAAAGTTGGAAATTCCCTCTGTTTTGAAATTCCATTTTAAAGGTGTTCTGTAATAACAGGTGCAACAAGATGTTCCTGGGGAGTCTGTGAGGCGTGGGGTTGTAAATGTAGTTTTCCTATGACCATTAGTTCATTATCTCTTCATATTCAAGGGCCTTTAGATACTCGGTTTGTAGGGATTTTTGTGTCTCTGTGAGCTTTTATACAAGCTACTTCTGCCTTAAATGTACTGGGGAGGTACATTCATTTATGTAGATCTTAAATTTTATATTAGTACACACTACTTTTATTCTTGAAAACAGATGCAAACAGTAGGAATCCAAGAATGCAATTTAGAAGCAAAATCTGTTGCATGTTTGCGTGATTCTGACATGTTACATGCACATTAATCACATAATATATTGCTGCACAATCTATAGCACAGACAAGTACTCCCAGTCCCATATGGCATTACTAGGCACACAAAAATGAAATCGCTCCAGAACCTAATCCTTTCTTCAAAAGCTGTGTGCCTCTGTCTCTGTGAAGTGGTTGTCATGGAGAGCACAAAAAGCTTTTCTGACACTTATTTTTAGCAGCTTCAAAAATTACTACAGAAAAAGTACATGTAAGTGAAATGTGCAACGTGTACTTCGTCCTCAACATGCTGGGACATGCCATGGGACTGGAGTGACTTTCTGTCCTTTAATGTTTATCTGAATGGAAACTAGCCACATCTGTGGCAACTAGAACAATAGAGCTTTTTGGCAATTAATGCTAAAAGTGTTTCCCATAGTCTAAAACATGTTTTTGCATCAAAAACATCATTTTACATATCTGTCAGAAGAATAAGGGAATAATAATAAGGGATTCAAGGAAGTAACATTGGCAAGACAAAAATGTGTTCTCCCCGTGTAGGATTCTTCAGTTTAACACAGTCTCTACTTATTAGGTATAATATGAACGGTTTGTTTCAGAGTTCTTTATTTTAAAATTTGGAATTTAACCTTTCATTAATGAATTTAACCATTCATTAGTGATGCTACATAAATAAGGGCACAATTTTGTCTATAAGTAGATCTCAAGTATGAAGAAGGGGTACTGTTATTTGAGGCTTCTGGACTATACTCTAATGTTCAAAGTAGTTCAGAATAGTTCTTGGAAGAAGAGTACTCTGAACTCCAGTCCAGTCTAAGCTGCCTTTTAAAAACTATGAATATTGAAAACACTTCTTCAAATGTGGGCTCGAACCTGACTCCATGCAGTAGTGTCAATGCATGTATACTTATTGGGAGAGTTTTACAATTTTTTTCCTCTGTATTTTAAATCTGATATAACTCCACTGATTTCAGCTGAACTATTCTGGATGTATACCTGTGCTTCTAAAACCTAAATGTAGCCCATTGCATTTACCATTTTCCATCAGTTGCAGCTGTCAAAGTTACGAAGTAACTGTTGTTTGACCACTTTCTATAAAAGCAAGGGGTCAGACTGCGAACTCTTTGTTTCCGTTGGAAAGCTATTCATCGCATAGGCACAATTCACACCAACAGGCACATTAATGGGATCAAATGCTCCCTGTTATGATTAAGAGTTCATATGAAATATGGGAAGATTGAATGCAAGATGCTGAAAAATAAGTGCTAACAGAAACATGTTTTCTGTAGATGAATTTTTTATTAAGCGTCTAAGGAATGGCACAATAATGAACTAAATGCCTGCCGTCTTCCTTTCTTTGCTGTCTTTTTAGATTTGTCCCTGGAAGGGTTTAATGAGCTTGGTTGCCAGCTGCAGTACGCATGCCAGTTTTCAGCAGCGTTTAATGAGACGCAGGGTGAAAATCGCCAGAGGTGTTCCCTGTTTCGTTCCACGCAGAGGTAGGTAAATGGTTACACACGAACCACAGCAGGGGAAAACCTGGCTCCCGCTCCCTGCAATTATCTGAGCGACCAGGTTGGGTCAATCCTACCTCCCGCCGGTAGAGCTCGCTTGTGCTGGGCACCCCATTTCAGTGAGCAAAGACTGAAAGATCAGAGGAACTGCAGGAAATGTAGGGCCCTACACTGTGCCTAAAATCTTTGTGATGAATCCTCACTGCATACATGTGTCCGTGCAATAGCTCTGAGCACGTGCTTCCACCAGTTTGCTGTACTAGACTGAAACCGATGGCAAAATCAATGTGGGAATATTGCCGCTTCCTAGAATTTTTTTTTCATCAGTTTTAGGTTAGACATAAGGAAAAAATATCAATGAAGAGTCTCACCCCAACCCCATAGCTTAAGGAGAACTGAATTTACAAAATGATGGGAACAATCAAACATGAATTTTAACTGTCAAGGTGACAGATACATTTTACGTAAACAATGAGAAATTACTTTATAATTTAATGGGAAGTGCATGGCTTAATTTCTTTCTGAATATAATCTCAAGATGTATCCATAATTAAATACTTACATTGTCTTCTGACAACTTATCTATTGTCACCTTGGCCTCTATTAAGTGATTATTGAGTGCAATTATTTCATGGCTCAAAGCCCGTTTTTCCTCTTCGTAATGTTGACCCTGTGTAGAAAATGGAGTAGTCAGTATTTTATCTACTGTCAGAATATTTCAGAAAAAGGCCCAAAGGTTGATGTCATTCTCAAATCCAGGGAAGAGCACAACAAACCAATATTTCTTCCCCCTTCCCTCCCCTTTTTTTGCTATTTTCACTCAGCAGATGAGGCAAAGTACTCTGAAAATATTGAGGTCGAATTGAGCTCACGTTAGGAAGCCTTCACAAAAGGCTTTAGCTAGCCTGTGCAAAAGCATTCAATTAAGCATCAGCTATTCCTTCTTCGTCACAAGGCAGGTTTTCCAACCTGGAAGGGACTTGGGCTGCTCTTGGCTTTTGCTACAAGAATGTTTCACTTATGCCATTAACTCCCATTCTCATTGGGGAGGGAGAACAATATTTAAAAAAGAACGTAGCAGTGTTTGAGCCAATTTCTTTTTAGCTGTTGATGGTGCTGGCTGCTTTAAAAGGCCTGAGTGAGGTTGTTCATTTGTCAAGACGGATATTTGCCTGATTGCAGGGTTAAACTCATTAGCAGAATGTCACCCACTGTGGGATAACTGGAAAATAGTCTGATTCAAACTTCTTGCTGCCCACTAATTTAATCTTGTTCCCAGTAGGCTGAAACTCTTTATTATAAATGCAAAGAAATCAACAGAAAAAGTAAAGTGCCACTGTCCCTTCCCATACTGTGTCCCATTTTCATACTGCAGTGTTTATTGCATCACCTCCTATATCAAAAATTATTTAGTAACAATTATTTATAGCCCTGCCTCCAGCCTTACGTTAGCATTAAAGAGTATGGTAGCTTCTAAATGCTCCAGCTGAGATCAAGGCATCTTCCTTGTGCTCAGAGCTGTACTGAACCATGGTATCAAGAAGGTTTGCTAATTACCTGGAGGGATCTTTTAGAAAGCAGCATTGCAATAAGAACAGAAAGTAGGATAAATTTTAATGTACATCTGTTCTCTTCTGCAAACTCAATCCAATGACAAACACACAATCTCACTTCCCATTCTAAAAATGTTAATGTGTGAAGGACTTTCTCCAGCAGGTTGATTGTATTAGCTACTGAAATTTCCCAAATGCCATATTGCCAGGGTCACACAAAAATCTTCCATCAACACACACTCAGCATTGTCAGCTAATTGACAGCAATGGGAGTTGTGCGTTTTGAAGTCTGAACGAATATCAAGGTTAATTATCCAGCTGCAAAGCACCAGGCTATATTAAAGAAGGGTGATTAAATTGGAAGTGGCAACTCTCATCCTAAGCTGCTATTTAAAGAAAAACACCTTCTCAAATGGTCTAAACAAACCCACAGCTTGCTATAAACAGCACAGATATAACTGAGGTGTCTTTGTGAAGGTCTGGACTGGCCTATTTTCATGACAGCTTTTCTATGGACCATCTGTCCCCTGCTGCTGCAAGACCTCCGTCCTGACAGCCCAGCTGTGCCTGGAGGCTGGTTCAGGCTTGACACCTCTCCTGTCCTTGTTCCCATTGATCAGATAATCCTGCTAGCTGCCTGGGGACTATATGAAGGAAAGCCAAAGCATAGCTTTGAGAGCTTGCAAGAGCTCCAACCTCACTGATTTTTAACAAGAGACATGATCCCCATCTCTGGAAGTTTTCAAGGCCAGGTTGCATGGGGATTTGAGCAGCCTGGTCTAGTGGAAGGTGTCCCTGCTTATGGCAGGGGGGTTGGAACTACATGATCTTCAAGGTCCCTTCCAACACAAACCATTCTATGAGCCTATGATTCTGTGATATTAAGGGCTGTGGTTTTTTTATTAGGCAGATTAATGTGGTTTTATATCAGGCCCTTAACTCTTACTGATTTTATTGTGAGCTAAACAACTAGACACTTTCTAAACCTCTTGGACATCTGTGCACTTCTAAAAATCTGTCTCCGTTGAGAGTATGACTGAAGATTACATTTTCAAAGGTATTTAGCTGTGTAATGAGGTAGACAAGTGCTATATTGCCATCTCCAACTACCTAAGTACCTGGAAAAAAAAGTGTCCCTTCAATTTTCCAAGTCATTCCACATTTTTGAAGGATTCAGGTCTACTCAGTACAGACTTAATCTTCCAAATAATCATTTGTAGTGAAGATTTTATCAATTCTTATATGACATGTAGTTGTCAATGCCAGGGCAGCTGATTTGTAGGACCCCCTTTTGGTCTAAGTCTCTGGTTTCAATAAGTGTTGCTCTTGCTTAACCAAAATGAACTTGACTCAATATATTTTACAGTTCAGGAAAGATAATCTGATCAAGGATTTATAGTCTTCAGCAGACAGAAACCTAAAAGAGCAGCAAATTCAGGCTTTGGAAGCAGTACTTTCAATTGTATTGAGCAATGCTGAATCTGACAGAATTATGGTCTCATTTTATTTCAGTTATGATAACTTTTGGGCTGATTTTTTCCAGACTTTGTATCTGACCAAGTGTGACTTTAAAAAATATTTTATATTTGTTGAACTGTAAAATTTGCTTCA